AAATAGGGTGAATACATCTCATTCGACTATTAATAGCCAATTATATATGTTAGCCCCCGTATCTTTTACTCTACTCTCCACAATGTCAAGTATAGGACTTTTCTATGTCATAATCTCTTCTGTGACGAATCCCAAATGTTAAGGTTGTTCAATTAACTTTTGAATTCTTTTACAAAAAATCAACTAGAAATGGACAGAAAATCACGTCGCATACAATGATAATACAAGAAATAAATCCAATTCTTAACAGACTTAAAGAAGACAATATTGGCGTAAACTTTGCATACTGCCTAAGCAAATTTGAAGAAGATCAGGGGACAGCAACTTCAGCAGAAAGAAGACTGAAGGATCAAGATAATATTTTTAATTTTAGGTAAATTAATCTCAAGTAGACCAGAGAGAAACAATCGGAAACCAAGAAGAGATGTCTGCAGTGAACCTAATCAAAGTAAGTTAAATAACCATAACATTTGGGATTTGGCACAGAATATATTATGGCATAGGAAAGTCATATACTTGGCATTACGGCGGCTAACATATATAGTTGGCTATTACTATTCGAGCTTCATCATAAACGTGTTGCGCGAAATAAAGACTCTACCACAAGATTTACTCAGTACGCATGCCGCACAGATATAAAAGGAATATGTAGTGTCAAGGTAGGTTTCCATGCTACTTGAGAATCCCAACTTTAGAGGCTTGCTCAGTGAGGTTGGAGGATATGTGCTATCAGAGGATTGAGACGGAGCGTAAAACACAAAGCCTCGGGTAGCACGGATATGATGGCACCAATCAATTAAAATCACTGAAACGGGCAGATAAGAGACGAGTCCTACGGTGCAAGAACGAATCTCTGATAGTACCATTACTTTGGGGGAAATGAGGGAACCAGCTAGGAGTTTGGATAAGTCCAACTAAATCCGGTCGCAAGGACACACCTCAACTCGGTTTAGATAAACAAGTAAGAAATTATGATATTGATTAGGTGATACGAGGATATGGGATAGGTGAATACTGAAGGACAAAAGAGAGTTACCATAACTGTTTAGCAGACAATTGGTCAAAGGATCGAGTTTATTTGTCTCTTTGACGAGTTGTATTGTGATGATAATTGTGGCAAGGCTGACTGAAGATACTGATTATGATGCTGGCCAAACGTCTGAGAATGTAATAAGTCTTCATGTAGACTCTGGAAATTATCATGCATACCACGGACACCGGGCGAGTTGCATTTCTCTAGGTCTCCTTGAACATACGACCAAATTGTGAAAACTATGTCAAACAACTTTTTTACATTAATTGGTTTAGCAAATAAGTCTTATACTAACTATCGCAAATATTTTTGCCACTGGCTTTGGAAAGGTAAATAAATAAATACGATGCTAATTATGTTGGCATGAGGCAACATCATCACCTTTGAAAAACCCTTTTATTTATGGTTGGATTTTTATTAATAGAGTTGACTCTTCTAGCAACGACGAGCGTGCTCTTACTATTGGTCTTTACAATGTGGGGAATATATTCTCACATTTCTGCTGGGTTAGTTTGAAACAACATCGGATCGACCATTTCCTCTAGACGGATGGGATGGTTCCTGGGCTGGTTGAGCACCTGGAAAACAATACGTTCCATCAGAGCCGACTGCATACCACGCAACTGTCGGAGCTTCTCATCCCAGACAAAATTGCCCTTAAGTCGAGAAAACTGGCTCGGTAGGCCCTTCCGTGATCGCACTGCTCGCTCGACCATGTTCTGGATACGGTAGCTTATTTCAGGGCTATTTTGTCCCTGTATACTAAGTTGAGACTGAATAAAGCAGGCCGCATCCTTGCGAGCATTCAGATAGAAACGCATGCCATCCTCCAGACTCTGCTCACCCGGCAGAACTTGTTCCCCTCGTTCAAATATTACCGTTTTGATAGATCGCTTCAACTTTGAAAATAGTATAGGCGATGTTGAATCTGTCAGATCGAAAGACAGCATCTCGGGCGGCCAGACTAAAATTTCGTTCATGCTGGAAATATTGTCTACATCAATCTTGCCCCCTCTCAATAGAGTTGTTTTGTCTCTGGGTAATTCTGCCTGTGTGAGCATGGTGGATGAAGAGGTACTGATCGGAGGTGTAAGCCAGATATCAGGTACAGGTAAGCCATGTTCGAGAAAGTGGCGGCGAAATTCGGACTGTATAGTAGCCGCTTGCATGCTCGTCTTCAGTTTATTGACCATGTGGTCGATGGCTGTGCTGCCAGAGGCGATTTCGGAGAGGCTGAAGCTGTCTAGCATGTCGGCTATCTCAACCAGTCCCAAGGGTTGTTCTTTTATCTCAGCAGCTACGCCCATTTTAATATTGTCTGTATCCGAAAAATCCTGGTAGAATATTTCAGAACGTCTATGGCTGCCAATGAGGCTATATCCTGAAGTTTCGTTACTCGCTGCTGCTCTATCTTGCTTTGACTGAGCGAGAAGTAAAGATAGGCTAATAGCCAGATGGGTTTGTTTGATATGTGCAAATTTTGGATGAAAAAAAAATATAGTTACATGAATATCTATAATTTAAGCAGAAAGGGTCTAGCTAATAGAATATCATAAAAAGCGGTTTCAGTAGTATTGCTGATTGTAATCTGATCCAAAAATATCAGATAATTTTGAAAAATAAAAAGTTACGCCTCTGATGGCCCGATAATTTAGGATTGAATAATTCAAGGAAAGGCTTATTAGAAAAAGAACTGTGCTAGCCCTATTTTACTCAAGATTATGGACGACTGGTAGTTGAATTTCCACACAATCATATAAGTAGGCATCCCATATCCATTGGATCTATATTCTCATGTATTCTTATCCAGACTCGTCTAAACTGTATATTTTAGACCTCACCTACTGCAAAAAGATGATATTGGGGAGACCTAACATTCCCTGAAATTCATTTATTCCCTGTGACGCAAGGGCACTCATGGCAAGCTTGTGTTTTAAGTAACATATTGAGATTATACGCTGCGCTACTTGGATCCAAGTCCCTTTGGGGATGCTGACAGGACCTAGGTGAGGTCGAAACTTCAGTCCATCAAGGATGAGAATACCTTTTTGAAAGTAAGACTAAATGACATTTAATAGTAACGTGGGGGCTACATATATCAATGTGTGGAAATTCAACTATCAGCCTTACATCACCTTGGACGAAATAGGATGGAAATAATTCTTATTAACGATCTACCGGTAGTGTCAAAAACCTACTTAGAAACCAAAATTTTATTAGCCCTTATAGATCAAGCTTGTTTCTTAATTAAAAGGGACCAGATACTTAAGATCTACCTGTTATTATATGGCTCTAATTAAAAAGTAGCCTGTCTACAAATGGATTAAGATTAATTAGTAACATATCAAAAACTACAGTTAGGTTAATTACATAATACATAAAAAAACTATGCCCATTATATTATATTGTGTCAAAGTTGTTTTGTTCTGCTACTTGTTGATGTTGCAGCAAAATTTACTTATTTTATATATTTTGACATCATCAGTGGTAATAAAAAATACAGATAATTTTATAAAGTATGAATCCGAAATGACCAGGCTTGCTTCGAAGGCTACATCTGGCCTGGAACCTACTGGCATCTATCACTGTGCGGTGTAATAGTAATATTCCTGCTTTAAGAGAAAAACCAGTTCATAATACCGGTAAGGGTGAGCGAAAGAGGTCAAAACTGCAGTCCGGTTCGAATATGAAGCTTGTTTCTAAGGGAAGTCTACTATAAATTGGAAGCTTCCCTAGGGTTTCTATTCATTTCATTGTGAAATACTCGACTATCTCCCCTGACATCTTATTAAGTAAACTAAGATACTCCAAATTATTTTCAAAAAAATTGACCACTAACATAAATGTCATCAAACTTAACAAAATGAGTCCTTCATCACCTTTAACGAACTAGGGTGAATACATCAGCTACAACTGAGTTACTGGCAGACTCAAAACCCTAGTTATGAACCAAAAATAAGTAATGTAGTCGATTGTCAGAGGAAACATAACTTTGTTTCATCGGTAATCTCACCAAAGAATATGATATGAGAAAAATGCTAAGCCTTCCCTGAAATTAACATATACCCACACTCGTGGCAATGTATCGTAGTTGCCAACATGTCGAGATTATACGCTGCGGTGTCATGGATCGAGTCCCGCTGGGGGTGTTCATAAGACCTGCAGTCCACCCTGGATAAAAACACCTTTATGGAAGGCAAAGGTATGGGAACGTTAATAAAAAGCATCAGCTCTACTTAAATCATTGTGAGAGAATTCGACTACCAATCCTTCATCGCCTCAAACGAAATCGGTGAATACATCTCATTTAATTAATTTACGGGTAGTCTCAAAACTCTACTTATATACGAAAAAATAACCTTCATTCATATGCAATTAATAATTAAAAGTGTGAATTCAGAGAAGAACCATAATATGAATCGAGACTTCTCTTATGCAATGAACTAGACAATCAACTCTTCGCAACATAGATAATTTATTTACGACTAAAAAGTGTCAAGAATTAGGAAAGCGGAACACCTTAGTTCACACTGTTACGTACTCCAATATGATAAAGTTGCGAAAACAAGTTCAAACAACTTCTATATAATATTAGTTTTACCAGAATTAGCATTTAACATTTTAGTACCTCAAAAATGGAAATGAATATTTTTCAATGGGAGAATTCCTATAAGCTAAGCATCATGAGCTTAACGCAAAATCTCAATAACGCAAATAATTAACTCCTATTGGATAGCACGCCAGTTCCTATACACAAGAAAGCTGAATTATTGGTCATTAAATTGATGCTAAGGTCTATACATTGTCGAAATCACAGTCAATTTCGAGCAGCATTTTGTTCAAACCATCAATTTGAGTTTCAGGCCAGCCGTCTATAAAATAACGAATTGTGTAATTTCAGTGCTTAAGACGAAAGTCCGTAATAAATCAACAAAAACTAACTGCTATAAGAGCTTTAAGCATACTAGGTCGCTTGAGATATTAAAGGACTGATAGTGACTTTACAATCAGAGGAATGTAATTGAAGTTTACCTAACCTTGCCTCAAGTAATATTCTTATCCGGATTGAAATGGACTGCAGTTTTAAGCTTGCCTCATCAGAACCTCCAGCGGGAATCGAACCCGGATAGTACAGCTTATAAGTTTGATATCTTATCACTACGTCAAAACTGCTACGGATGCCAGTGGGTTACAGGGCAGGAGTAAATTTCAAAGCAAGCTAGGCCACTCCCATATCACATGTATATCACTCCCAGAACTATCCAGGCTCGATTCCCACAGGTACTGATGATACCTAGGCGAGTTTGAAACTGCAATCCATTTCATCCCAGATGAAAATACCACTTGGAAGCAAGGATTAGTAAAACTCAATTACTTGGGATGTAATTTATTGGTAGCCTATTAAAATGAAAAATAAAATTTAATTGTATTGTGAGACCTGCTTATCCTATTTTTGGATGATCTACTATTCGTTGTCATTACCTTAAGTGAACTCGGATTACAAAAGCTTTTGACATAATCTACCCATATTCTTGAATTCCTACTGTACTTGAATACAACTAACAAATATAGCTACCCAAACCAGCCGAGCAGAAACTCCCTACTAATAAGTGGCTCAGGCGACAAGGGCAGGGGGTCCAAACGATAATTAAAAATTGAATTCTATGGTTTATTTAATAATTCCGAGCCGTTCCGTTGGTAAATTATTATATAACAAGGTCGTAAGTTTAACTATTCGACTACCCTAAACTCCTTGATTTTCCACGATTTTCTAGTCAACATGACGCATTCATAACTTGGGCTTTGATTCGTTATCAACTGACATACTCTAAACGAAAGTCCTTGCTACAAATTGACAAGTAAGTTGGGCACTATTCATCTTGAGGCTAAGCAGCAATTGCCAACATTTGGTGTATGAAGCAAGCCAATATGCAAAACTCTGATTACCCTTCAGATACCAGACTTACTTGTGAGTAGAGAAGGGTTCACTGGTGTAACTAACTGATTAAAAAGTTTCATTCTACATGGAAGATAGAGATAAAGAAAAGGCTTGTGTAGCCTCAGATTTGGTCTCAGCTGTCATTAGTCATACATAATTGGCTTGAACTCGTTTTCAAAACTTTGTTGTAGTGTCGGAGAGACCTTAAAGAGCTTACATATTTCTGTGTTCTCGACAATAGTAGACATAATTTCCAGAATCTGTAACTTGACTTAGTGCCTTGCCAGACGTCCCACAAGCGACTGTCAGATTTTTCCTTTAGTCTAAAAGGCTAACTGCATTGCATAAAAAAGTCACCCAAACGGGGTGCTCTAGAGCTCACTGGAATAAATGCCAGAATATTTAATAAATTATATTAAATAGACGGGAAGGGCAGTCAGAACAAGGATTAAATAGAACTAGCGACTCTGCTGAATCATGGATACATAAAGATATTCAAGCACATTTCACTGACCAGCCACGACGATAAGATTGGTCACATGTGGTGAAAATACATGAAAGCGAAAATCAGAGATGCCATAGACATCATAGTTTAAAGAAGCTTAATTGACTGAAGATTGAGGGGGGAAAGAGTCGGAGATAATTTCGCTTACTGCTTAATCAGAATTGGAAAAATTAAGGAGTTAGCAGGGAAAGTCAAAATAGGACGCTTGGATCAAGGACGTTCATTAAGCAAAAAGAAAAGGAATCGTCCGGAAAAAGATCTTGAGGATAGAATAAAAGGGAAAATTATCTGAGTATAGTAAGAGGAGATTAATAAATGAAGCTGTATCAAATAGTTTGAAAAGGGTGTATTTCCTGGACAAAAATCACTTAGGAATCAACAGATATTGGAATAGCTTGTACTTGGGGATGCGAGTTTCAGGATCTAGCAATACTTGAAATCCACTTGAGAGTTGAAACAAAACCTATACGAAATATATTATTTAGTCGAATGATAGAGGTGGTCATAACATCAATCCAGACGATGAATTTACTAACGCATGTAAGCACTCCGAACTGAATGACGTGGAGCCTCATGATTGAATGGAACTGAAATGATAGAATGACTGCTAACGCGAGAAAGCAAAAGGAGTGGATAAGAGAAGTGGCAAATCTCCACGCTTGCAGTTCCAAATAAAACCAGAAGTAGGGGCCTTAGATAATTTTGAGCAATAAGGTGATTAAGGAAGAAGGTTGTATCTGGAACCTCGGCAATTCGAAACAAAGGAGAATTGAATTGGACAGCAAATAAGATAATCCCGATTTTGGAGAGCCGTCCTCAATGAGGTCATCATACACCTTCTATTATAGATAAATCCTCGGGTA